AGTTGAGAAAAAAAATATTGTGTAAAAATTATCTAGTTTTGAGAAGACGTTTTTATCTCTTTTATTTGCAAATAAATACACGAGAAAAATAATTTTGCTGATCTATAATTTAGTGAATGAATGAATGAATGAAATTAAAAAATGATATTGTTAAATCACACATTAAAATAATTGTGGACGCTCACATTAATGGTTAGAACGTCAAAACTTTTTGCAATATCGTATGTGTTTTTCTACAATTATTTTAATTATTTTAATACCCGGAGAAAATTTTTTCTTAGAGTCACTCTGAAAATATGATAGTTGTGGGACAGCATTGTATTTCGAAGAATTTTAATGTAAATTTCTCTCATTCATTGATAAAATTACAATAAAGTATAAAATAAGTTTGATTTTACTGAAGTGTATGGTAAAAATCTTTAAAATATTGTATTGTACCACAACTACCATATTTCTAGGGTAAATTTTAAAAGAAAATTCTCTCCTTGTAGTTCAACAAAATTATTTTTAGATCTGTATTTGGTTAAATTTTTACATATCTAGCCAAAACTGTTCTTTCTGTGTATATATGTTCTTATATTATGTATATTTTTAATCTAACAGACTACTTTTTGTTAGAGTATCTTAAGAATATTTATAGACGAGTGCAACACACACATATCATCGATGCAGTGATGTATATTATATAAGATAATAAATTATCATCTTTTATTATTTGCCTTAATTTCTTTAGAATAAGTTTCGCATAGAATTATAGAGACAAAGTTTCCTCGAGAGCCATAGATTAATTCCCACAGATGGTAAATGAAACTGTTCTAAATATCGACAGCGAGAGAGCACTCCACTTTTATTGGGGTTTAATTAACGCCCGAGCGGGCTGCGGAGGGTTGGAAATCTGGGCGAGTTTATCTCAGCGAATCTAAATTTCGGGACGAGTACTATCGACCCTTTTCTGCAGAGCATCTCGGAATTCACATGAGCCTGGGCGCCATTGCCGCTCCTCGTTATTTTTATACTTATGCAGATTTCGAGATTTGTCGGAGGCCATGATTTGCAATGCAAAGCCCCGGCGTAGTCGAGGGATATTGTTTGTCTGCGAACTCGTATTTAATTAAGGAAAGCCCGACGAATTTATTAGTATCTCGTAAAGACGATTTCGAATTTACATTAAAGACTTACCGACATATTTAATGCACTGTTATTATTCTACGATTAATTACTAATTTTTGTCGTTGGGTGGTTATTCCTGTAAAAAATTAAATATTTAAAAACATTGTATTTTTATAAGAGGAACGATGAATATAAATATAATGTATATGTGCGTGTTGTGTGAGATCAGTTTGAAAAATGATTAATACCTACAAGAAAAGAATCATTTTGGACTCGTGTGAAGTTGGCTCCAACTTTTGTACGCATGTCAGGGACACTTTATGTACCTACGTGAGTTGCAGCTATTGCGGTGATTATACATTGCATATTGCGCACGTTCGTTTACGTGCGTCACGTTTCTCTCTGCAGAGATACAGAACAACCTGCTTAACGTTTCTACATTTATGTACCTATATTTTATGAAATGTGGTAAGAGACGGAAAGCTTTTCATGGTTTTTCACGAGATATGGCAAATAAATAACGAGATTAACGCATTTCGAAAGAAAATTTAGTAGTATGTTACAGAAGGGAAATGATTTATACATCCCATTTCGTGGGATATATAACGGGCCATATATTCAAAACGTTTCGATATATCAAGAAATTCTTTTGGGTCTCAATATTTCATGTAAAAATTCGAAAATATATATATATACAGCGTATATCGTGCGTATTGCATTCGCACAAACATTCGATTGAGTTATCCGTCAAAGAATTAAATGCAATAAAAGATGTCATAAAATTGCGTCTATTATCCTTTCGCGAGCAGTCCGATTTTTCTCCTTTCCAATTTTAGGATTAGACTTTGGAATATTATTATACAACATATAGTTTATAATCGCATTTAGCGGTTATGCAGCACCAGAGGTTAAGAATAAAAATCGATTACTTTCGTGAAACAAAGTTGCCACAAAGTGCACCGTTGCGCCGGCCATCGCGATGGAAACTCCCGAGCAATTTTCGCTCGGCCTCGACGTTGTGGCAATTAATACCGCTACCAGACTGGAAACTACGGCCACGCGAGACAACGCGAGACGTGCGCCCGACGTTTCGGGAGAGGGCCCATTAGTATGCGCCGGTCGTTTCGGTTCGGTAACCGCACTAGTACGGGGCTTCAAATCCCGGGATTACGCGCGTGCGTTCGTTGCCTGCACTAGCTATACATGTACAAGCCGTTCGATAAAACAGGCGTTTGATGCACGTGGCGATATTCCCTGGTGATTCCTAAAATAATATTCGTTGAACGAAAGTATTGCGGGAACCTGAGATCGATTAAAGAAGAGGGCGTCTTGAAGTTGCTTTAGACATGCAAATAGATAACCAAATCTTGTTCTTTGGTTATTCTTAAATGAATTTTCCTTTTTTTAAAGATATTTATTTAGTTCCTAAACTCTTAAGCAATTACAAGAAGATATAACGTTCAAGAAAATTTTTATCAAGAGAGAGATCAATTAAAAAAAAACGATCGTTTTAATTTTTTGTTACATATCAAATATCTTTTTTGTTCGTAAAATATATTTGTTAGCGAGCACTGTATAACATAGTCGGGAATAGAAGAGCCAATATTTGTTTGTTCGAAACACACACGAACTTTTTGGCAATTTCATTGACATATGTATGCGACACGTTGCATGTGAAATTCACATTTCACTTCGAATGCGGCGAATATATTTGCGAATACAGTTACTGGGATTTTAACGAGATCTGTCGATAAAATTATTTTGACGATTATTTGATTTATTTCAAGTTTGATTAGACATTTCCGTAAAATGCGAGTGTAGCTGATTAATTTATGATTAATGAATTAAATTGGATAGTAAATCGGTATCATAAGATTGAAAAACTGTTAAATAATACCAATTTTATGTATAACTTTTGCAATCTTTCAAAATTTTAATGATATTTGATTTTAATTATTTTAATACATATACGATATGTATAAATTTTAAAAGGAGTTTTTTATTGTTGCATAATACATTCGTTTTTCGAAGAGGCTGGGTTTAAAAGTATATGAAAAAGTATTGGAAGGTTTAACTCTCGGTTTAAGTTCTTGAAATATTTTGTGCTTATTTCTTTTTTGATGATGAAAGACTGGCGTGAAATCGCAGAATCTTTTATTTCTCGCCTCACGAAATAATCCCGGTATAATTCAGCACACCGTGACAACGATAGATGTGTCGCGCGACTCAACTTAATTACCACGCGAAACGGTTAACGGTGGCAATTAAACGAAGCAATTAAAAGTTTTTCCACGCCCGAGTTGTCGAGGCTGCGGCTATGAACCCTTTCCCTTGTCTTCCTGACAGGCGGCAGAGTGCACTTCCAATCGATATATTTTATTCGATGTGCATCCCGCACCAATTTCATTATCGCTTTTCCTCTGCTGAAATCGCCGTTCTGATTTTTCGATCGTTATGATTAGCCGTTATCGTTGATTCGTCATTGTGAAGCAACGAGGGTGCTTCCATTGTTAAGCTGAATAGGTTGTAGCTTATGCGGGCGTCAGCTTTTTAGGCTATTAAATTTTAAGATCTTTTCCGCTAAAAGAATTGGTTTTTCTAAAATACATTATCCTTTACTTTATTAAAAGGATGCATTTTTATGATTTTTTAAAAAAATTAATACATCTCAATTTAAAAAAACATTAATTTAGAAAGAACGGTTTTACTGAAGTATCTAAAAAAAATTTAGGTGCATACAAATCTGAAAATAATTTTGTTGAATTATAAAAATAGTTATGTAGAACGCTTAAGTGTGGTGATAACAGGGCTGAAAAAAGTTTTAACATTCTAGCAACCTGTTTAAGCGTTCTACATAATTATTTTGATGGTCCAAACTAGATTATATCATGATCCATATTTAGCTTTTTTAAATTGTTAGATACTTTAACAAAACCGTTCTTTCGTACATTTTTTTTTATCATATGAGGCACTTTAAAGTACATATATAAAGATTACAAAATATTATACAAAAACGTAAATAATTAAATAAATAATTAGTAAATAGTAAGATGTAGGAAAATTTGTACAATTTTCGTTGATGATGAACGAATTGACGAATAATAAAAACAATATGATAAAATTAAGAAAAGTTATAACGTTTTTTTTATATTTTTATTAAAGATGAGAGTTAGATAAGATAAGAAGATAGAGATATTTCCATACTTTTCAAAACGGTATTAATCTTTATTTCCGAGATTTCTCGCAGGAATTTTCCTTGCAATTTTTCGCGTCATATTGCGCTATTCTCTCCGCAAGCGTCTCTAAATTCTTGTTAAAGGAATGGATTTAAAAATGCATTTGTCGTCGTTGGCAAAGGTACAGTTCTATCTGTCTATGAGAGTAACATCCCGCAATATCTAGATCAAGCGAGACATTTTTCCGACGTTTATGCTAACCTTCCACACCTTGAAATTTTACACAGCTTGGCTAACTTTTATAAACTTTAATAAATTGTATAACATTAAATATTCCGCTCTTTTATAAATACGCTTTCATTAAAATTCTGTTTGTATAAAGTGGTTGGGAATTAACTTCTCTTAAGGAGAATAAAGTTAAAAATATATTAAGACCCTCTATTAAATATGAATCACATCTTTTACCCCAAATTTTTATTTCGAAGGGAAAGTCGGATTTATATTTGTCGGAAAATACATCGTTGATTTTTCGAGATATAATAGGAAAGGGAAAAACATTATGAAAATTATTGTATTGTGCGTTATATTTTTGTTTTCTGCAATGATTTACAATATTTACATGATTTATGAATGTACAACAGATGTCTTATATAGAAGATATAAGCGCGAAGAAGAATTGGCAACGTTTCGTCAGTTTTTTTGTTAATATTTTTAATATAATGAGATATATTATAATATATTATCACGTTGCGAATATTCTTCTCGTGAAAATTCAGATTTATACAAACATTTAAACAAAATAAGAGAATACGCTGCATTTAGTAATATAAATGAGATACGTTATTACTGAATTATATAGTTTATAAATGCATTGTATATGTGTGTGCAAAGAGATGTTCTTTGACAACGCTTTATGATCTTTTTTCACATTTTACATAATGAAATGCAATAGTAATATATATCGCGTTGCACGAGTAATTCTCTTTGTACAAATCCAAATGGTGGACAGTCCGTTTTATTTATTTTCATGTAAATACGTAGAGTATTTAATAAGAGACGTATATATGTGTGCATATAAGTGATAAGTGTAATAAGTGTTTTCAACTAGACCGTATAAACAGCACGAGTATTTTCTTTAGAAAGAGAATGACATAGTCCCCGGACAACTGCAAGAGGTGTTACTGGTAACGAAAGTGAAGGTACTTTACTCGAATAAGGCCTGGTTCTTAGTATGGTTCGCTTCCTATTCATTTGCGATCCTCTTAGAATCTCTACCTTGCATATGAATGGCTATTTATGTCATGCCCATAACTTGTTGTGTGCTTATATGAATCTTGAATAATTTTCCAAAGAATTAACCAGCGTAACTCGAGTAAAGTACGTATCTCGTAAAATAGAATCGAATCCAAGTAAATAGGATAACATAACCCATTTCACTTTGAACGAATCAAACACTTTTCTTGATGAAAGCAGAATTCATTTGACGTAGTGGTTATTCTGCTTAAGAGACTTGTCGATGAACTATCTTACGTGATCGCGTCTTGAGTATTCTCCTCATGCAGCTGGTCTAGTTGGCGGTTGTCGCCGTGGAAATCAGAGAGGCTGGTCGGTAGTTTGGCGGCGTTCCCTCGGGCTCATGTGGTCGCGTATCTAGGCCAAGTAATAGGGTGCGCTATAAGCGGCGGCGTAATAGGGGTAGCTCGAATAGGCCGTGTACGCATAGGGGTAGCTGTATGCGGAGTATGCCACGGCCGGCGCGGTGTATGCTGCACTGTAAGTGAGCGGCGCCGTATAAGCCGCGCTCAGCAACAATCCTCGCTTGTTCCTGCCCGCTTCCGGCGAGGTGGACTCGGCGGCCCGCGCCGGTTCGATGGACTCCACCCCGGTGGGTTTCGCTTCCGTGAGGGCTGCAATGGCCACCAGGGCGAACAGGGCGATAGCCTGTGCACGTCAAAGAGAAGTATAAAGGCGTGTCATTACATTAAAAAGCTTCCAATGCACTCTTTAAAAGAATACGCGAAATTAAAAGAGACTTAGGATTATTAACCCTCCGTTTGCGATCATATTTTTACTCTTTCCTTCTGCAATATGTTCTCTTTTACTATTCTAGGCTTTCAAAAATATTAAAAAATTTAGCGTTACTTTTTAATATCTCTATATGACATTATTAAATAGTTTTTTAACAAGTTTTTTTTAATTTTCCCCTATTTTAGGAGGGAATTGGACTCTGCCTGTTTTTATTAAAAAAAATTTGAGAGTAAAATTTCACTTGTGCTAAAAAAGACTCAAATTACAAATGAAGGGTTAAAATTCCAGTTTTTTTAAATTATTTCTTGAGGATACCATAAAATAAGGAAAATTTCTCATTTTGTTCTTATTATCGAGGACATGATATTTGATTACAGCAACCTTGTTAATCTGGATTTGTGGTATTTCTTTCTGTTAGAATTGAACGAATAATATCATAAAATGTTACTGTTCGAAAGTCAAAGGTTAAGAATTTCAACAATTGTTAGTATTCTTACTACATAGCTGCTATATTAGCTCAGTCTCAATATTAAACAGAAATGCAATTGTTTTACTCACGGTGAAGTATTTCATGTTTGCTGGTTGTTGAAGATCAGGAAAGCCTCGAAGAGCTCGAAGATCGAAGATCGATTGATGCTCGTGCTCTCGGGGTGGCGCACTTTTATATGTGCTGAAATGTACGTGCATAGACTTGCGAACATCGTTTTCAACTGGCGTAATCGCGCATAGCAATTATTGTTCTGGTGACATTGTACGTCAGTACGGAGGGAGATGGGGAGTACCATCGAGAATGTAGATGCGAGCATCGAAGTTGAGCAACCCGTCCTTGGCCGCCGTCCAAATCGAGACGTAAGAATTTTTTGAAGCTTCGCCGCCTCCAGCCGATTTAGTCGCGTTTAAGAATTCCTGTGATACCTTCGTACTATCTCAAGCTTGAATAACATTGAGTTGTTGACATTTCGGTAGAATCAAAATATAAATAATATATTCGAAGGCAAATGAGATTTCTCGAAAGCTAAACTGCTCGATTTTACATAGAAACGACAATTTTGCTTAAATATCTAAAAATTTAGGTAGATACAAATCTGAAAATTATTTTCTGTTGAACTATTAAAATAATTATGTAGGAAATTCAAGCATGATGAGCAATGCTGCAAAAAGTTTTGACATTGTAGCAACCAGTTTGAGTATCTTGCATAATTATTTCGATAATCATAACAAAATTATTTTCAAATCAGTATCTAGTTAAATTTTTAGATTTAACAAAACTACGTATTAAATAAAAAGTAGAGACTAGAGACAATGAACTTATTATATGTGTGCTTTGCTATTAAAAATTAAAAAATTCACATAAAGTGAAGTTGATCAGTTTGGCTTCTGTAACGCTGAAATTTGCCCAAACTTTGGAAATCTTCTCTTGTCAATCTTTAATTGAAGATATTTTCGATTCTAAACAAAGTGCTCCAAACTCAGTTAAAAGATTATTATTAATATTAAAGTAAAATATTAAAGGAAATGCGAAATTGATAATGATAACGATAGCGAATTTTTGCGAAGAACATTGATATTGATAGTCAATATAAAATCGTCGATATATTGTTAATTTATATTCCGTACGATTGTCGCAGCCGTCACGGCAATTTTCACGAAGCGGTTACGGTTTAGCTATTCTAGCCTTGTACTCGATTGGATCCCGTTCGCGGCCACGGAGCCCAAATGGTCCCCGTGCCATTGAACAGGCCGAGTGCAGTTTCCCACAGGGCCGAGCATCGCTAATGGCGCCTGAAAATCGCGAATCCAATAGAATCCAATTTGCCAGTTAGGATTTCTCGACTTGGCTCATACGGCGAGCTAATCGTGTTAACTCGCGATCATTTATCGGAATGCTCTATAATTAATGTTCTGTAACTCGCGGAGACAATAAATCTCGACGATAAATTCTTTCGGAATGGATTAATCGAGGAGTTAATTGAAAACGGATTTTTTAAGCGAAAATTTAATGTGGAATTTAATTTAGTAACTTGAAAATAAATCGCATTCATTAGTTAAAGTTCATGCAAATTTTATCGGTAATAGGTAATTTAAATTTAATTGCCAGGATAATTAGTATCGAAAGTAAAGAAAAGATATATATTACGCGGTTGGTAATTTTATTTATTAAATATGTATTCAGAAGAAATTATCTCAGAGTTCAAATAATTTGTCATTAAAATATATTTTGTTAGCGCGCGATTACAGACGTAAGAATTCCATGAAATTCTTGGCATGATTTACCGTCTGAAATTGTTTCATACGACAATGTTAAAGCGAGAGACGAAAAGCACACGCGATACATACCTCTCCCGACACAGTAGCTGCAGTAACTTGGCACAAGAGTAACGGTTCGTCGTTAATCATATTTTATTCAGGCCCACTTATCGCGCTGGAAACATAGTGTTACGCTCTTTTCAGTACACACCGGAGATCAATTTTTCAAGAGGGTCTCACTGCAGCCGGTTGCATTGTGTCTTGTGTGAAACAACGCTAACGTCGTAGCGCCGAAATTGTGCATCATTGTCGTTCGTCTCCTTTCGGTGCTTTTAATTTAACATCTCGGCAATGCCGTTTTGTTGTATATTATAGCATAGAAAATTTTATTTATAAGATAACTAGAATAGCTATTCTAGAAACTAGCTATTCTAGAACCTATGAAAAAGCAAACATATATAAAGCGTTATTTTTTTATAAAATTTTTAAAATAAAATAATAGAGTTCACGTTTTTTAAAAAAGCAAAAATTTTTGCTGATATTTAAGATATTTTACAATATATCATGCAGATATCTATTTCACGTTACATTTAATACCGAAGATTTTAGAATTATTGTGTTATTATTGAAATTTAATATAAAAGCGATTTTCGAAGCTTTTGTTATCAAATTAGATATGTTCAAATAACATTCAACTAACAAGCTGTTGTTATCAAATTAGATATGTTCAAATAGCATTCAACTAACAAGATATGAAATAAAATTGCCGGTTTACGATTACATCAGATAGCTAGCATAAGCCATTACTTCTTTTATCTCGCTCATTTTGAGAAAGCTGACACTCGCATACGAATAAAGAAGATTTCCAGAAAATCCGCAGAGAAGCCGCGAGACGAAGGATGCTGTGGATAATGCGTGTCGCATTATCCGTCCAAAGTTTCAGTTATTTTCCGCTCTCGAGTCGACGATGAAAGAAAGCTAAGAAGAGAAGAGAGCGACTTGTTGGCTCGCAAAGGCAAAATTCGAGTAATATCGCGGCATCGCAAAGCGACGACATTGGTCGGGGACAGTTTGTCAGGGTGTGTCGGAGGGGTGTCGGAGGAGTGTTTTTCATATAAACGCTGATTGCCAGCCGCATTTTTATCCGCGTCTCGTCGGTATTAGCATACCGAGTCGCTTCGTCGACCCGGATGCTAAGAAGAATAATCTTCGTCGGAATATTCGCCAGCGGCAACGACAAGATTATCGCGATTTTATTTATGTTTACGGCTTAAAACTTTATTTATCTGGCTCGATATATTTTACGAGATAAAGGCACAATACTGAGAATGAAATTGAGTAGTGCAAATAGATGTCTATTTTTAACTTTAATCTTGGTTTAACTTATTTTTTATCGTTTTCTAATTCTGAGAATTAGAAAAAGATAAATAGTAAATTAAACCGAGATTAAAGTTAATTTACATTAATAGAAATGGACAGAAAATTAATTTAATCCCTTTAAAAGATTTTGCTACCAAAATAAAATTAATGAGTCTGATTTTAACCATTTTTACAAACAAAATATGATAGAGAAATTTCACAGAAACTCAGAAACCCAAAGGATCTTAAATTTTTTTTAATAGTATATCCGTTATTTCTTAGTTTCTAAAATTTTTACGGAAATAATGAAGAGACCCAAAAGGTTTTATTTAGTTAGTATATAAAATTGTCATTAATAATAAGTTAAAGCCATTATATAATATATAAAAAATATAGGTATATAATATTATTAACAATTTTTTTACATATACAAACTTGTGTGCGACAAAGACGACAATTTTTTATGCATACATGTGAAACGATTCTCAGCTAGAGAGGAAAATCCGTCGATTGCGCCAGTTATCTTGCTTCTTTTCCACAGAATTCTCGTGATTGGCTATTCGACAAGCTCGCTTCGTAAACCGAAGATAAAAAGGACTCTAAAACGAGCGTAAACCTGTCATTTTGTCTGTCGAGATGAGCAAAGAATCTCTCGCGTTTTTTCCAGCACAAAAAGATTTATGTGTCTGAAGTATCGATTTAAACAGCTTTCGATATACTTTGAAAAGAGAGAAATGATATCGTAATGTTGCATTCTATTTTTTTCATTACACATAACATTGATTTAATAATTTAAAGAGGAGAAATTCATTATCGAAATTTTTTGAAAATTGATAAACATAAGAAAATATACTCATTATAAAATTTATTATTTTGAAAAAATTTTATTATTTAACAATTTTATTTATTTTCTGAAAGAGAATTTTAAATTTCTTCTTTCTGAGATGACAAATTAAGAATTTAATCTTTTGAATGCAGAAAAAATTGTAGAGAAAGAGAGAGAGGGGGGGGGTATTTATTTTTCTTTAATGTTTTGTTTACAGCATAAATTTCGTAGAACGCAAAAAAAATAATATAAATTAATAGAAATAAAGTTGAAATTTACTTTTTTTTATTCCTTTCCGGTTTTTCACGATGAAAGAGCTCTCGTAATTGCCTAGGCGACATCCGTCATTTTCCGACTCCATCTCACTGTTTCATTTTTCTCTCTAGTCGCTCTTTGAAATTCCAGTAGCGATTCGACCCCATAAGTAGCTCGCGGTGTCCCTGATGCCGTGTCGTCGCAATTCGTGTACGTAATACCACTACTATACACGCTGTCTGTTGTCTGCGATGTCATATTCGTTACAACATACCTACGTAGCTCGTGTAACTTCCGATGTAGGCGTATATATGTTTCGTCGGATGAATGTACACAGTGTTCCGGACAGGGAGTTGCAAAGATGTTGGGTGATATCAGAGTATTCTTAGATCAAAATAGAAAAAGAGGAAGAATGTCTAACACGAAGTCACGCTATGTACAACAGAGAGAGTAAATCGGTAAAATAGCACTGTTTCCTAGTCCTTTTACTATCTCTTCCTATTATTATCATAAATTACTACTATCATTCCATTTTCGTTTTTATATGACGTATTATCTTATCGCTCTTGTTCTCAGATCTCCTCGTTTCTTTCTGCCGTTTTATCTTTTTGTCTCGTATTTGTTTCTCTCTCTCTCTCTCATTTTCTTTTTCTCTTTCAATTAGTAACAGTCAACGCACGTCGATCCTCCACGAATGGTTGTGTCCCTTTGTTGTCGTTTTTGCAAAGTCGTTGTGCTTTGTTTTTGTTCTTTCAGGCAAGTGGAAAATGCAAGAAGAGTCTGAAAGGAATCTATTCTGATGCCTATTACCATATATTGCATGCGAGCATGCTTCAGTTCTGTTCTTCATATTTTTCTTCACGCAGAAGAAGAAATCGTAGTTTTTTAGGAATAATCAAGTGATACTCATCTGTATAAATTTTTTTTTTAAATAAACGGTATAGTTTTAAGTGAACAAATGTATTTTTTATTAATAAAAAAGAATTAATTTTGCTGGACGAAAAATTGTTTCAAAAAGATAATATTATATTAATATTT